TGATCATCCACCTGCTCCAGCTGATCTACCCTTCGCTGCAGCTGAGCCTCCGACTCCTCCAGGCCCTCACGAAAAATCTGAAACTGCGGGTCTTGAGCGAATAGGTCCGCCAGCGCCTAATGCTTGGCACGGCACTCCCGGTACTTCTTTGCCACCCTCTTGAGGGTGGAAGCCTTCTTCTGCGCTCGCCGACCCCTCTTTATCTCCAGAACGAGGGTCTAAAGAAGAGACAAAAAGAAGAGAAATTAGCATGCACCAAAGTTCACTTTATAATACATAAAAAAGAACGAAGTGTACCTGCAAAGCCGCACCGGCAACCCTTCGAGATAGATCCCTGTCGCTAACGTCTTTCAAACTCTCGCGCTCAGCGACCGCACACAGCAGGGTCATATCCTCTGCGGCCTGCTCGGTGTGTTGCAACAGGTTATATCCGCTTGGGATCAAAATCTGGTGGTTAGACCCACCCGCCGTCATCCCACGCGGGCTCTATCCCTCCTCAATGCATCCGCACCTGCAGGGGCCGCCCCAGGTTCCGCCCTCTCCTCATCATCTGCCTCCTCAGCAGCAGCCGACTCGCCACCCTCCGGAACACGTACGGGGGCGGTGTCGAGAACTGCCCTCCCCTGGGAAGCCGACCTCCCCGAGCGGATAGGATCAGCCATCAAAACTGGCCTCGACTCAGGACGAGGTTCACTCGCCCCCTCGTCCTTTGTGGCAATCCCCTTGCCGAGTATCAACCGGCGCCTCTTCCTCTCCGGCGGCTCCTCGCCCTCAGAAGTCTCCTCCACGGGCCGAGGGGATGGCGGCGAAGGAGTTGCTTCGCTTGTGGACGCAGCCACAGGCGCAGCCTCAGGTTGAACAACCTCTGGGACGCCATCACTGGACGAGTCACGGGGTACGTACTCATCCCCAGAATTAGTCCCCACACCAGACGAGGTAGCGACATTCTGTTTCCTCCTCTTAGGGGCGCTCCGACCTGCCAACATAAAATAAGTCAAGCAACGAAACCTAATGAAACCTCCAGACCATGGTCAAAGAGTTATCTGGTGGGCCGTATCGATCACGGAACGCGGACCAAGTGCGGCACTCCTCTGCAAATGGAATCAACCTCTTCACCCACGACCTAATATCGTCAACGGATCGGGGTGGAGAAGCCCTCGCTGCGAAAAGGAGAGGAAAACAAAAAAAGTTATAATGGCCGTACGGTCAAGATTGCACACGGCACTAGATTCGAGTAAAAGCACTTACGTTCTGGATTCCACCTCTCTGGGAATCCTTCAGGATTCGCCACCAGGTGCTCCGTCCTGATGTAGAAAAATTTGCGCGGCGATTGGTCTTGTCGTCGGCCTTAACAACCAGGCCCTTCGTACCACGGCTCTTTAGTTGCAACATAGTGCCCCTCATGTAGCCAGGGCTGAATAACTGCAAGAGGTGGTGGACCGAAACGCTAAATCCGGCCCTGGCCGCGTAGGTGGTCATAATACGACACACCTTCCAAGTGTAGGGAGTAAGCTGAGCCGGGCACACATTGTAGAAGCGGTAGAGCTCCTCCACGAGGGGATAGACTGGGAGGCCGTATCCGAAGAACGGATATTCGTAAAATGTGCAATATCCCGGCCGGTGCACGTTAGCATAGCTCGTCCTGGCCGGCTCCATCACCACATGGTCTGGAATCTGGTACGCTTCTCGCAGGTCGTCCAAATGCGACTGTAATAGCTCGCTGTGATCCCAAGGATGGGTCAGGCTCTTGGTCGGGAAATCCCTGCGAACGTGTATCTCTTTTGGAAGGACATTATCTACGCTGAGAGGGACGAGGGTTTTCTCTGCCTTTTTCCCACCACCACCCGAAGATGGTGGAACCCTAGATGGGGTGTCATCCTTGGATTTTTTGCTGTTTTGCCCACGTTTCGCCATAGTAATTTTTTATATAAATCAAGCTCTGGCAACAAGAAAGGTGGTCTCAATAGAAACGGAAAAGTTTAGCACGAAGTAGCGGTTTTTGGCAAAGAAGATGAAAAGGGGAGTAGAAAAACTCGGAAGTTCGAAAGATAAAAAAGATTGAACCTTCCTCCTATTTATGGGGCTAAGGTACACGGAAATCGAAGAGGCATGATTCAAGATGGGCGCGGGAAACCAAAACGTCAAATCGCCTCCTGAAACGCCTAGGGAGCAAGTATAATCATGACGCATGCCGGCGGTGACGTCATTTTAAAAAGTAGACCACGTGTCAACGGATCGACGACTCCATATATTTCCCCTACTCACGTCATCGCCCTCATAATAAGGTCAAATTCTCCAAAGACGAGGTGGGCATTTCCGCCCATTGAAGACGTCTACCGAATACGCCTCCAACGAGCGGAGGGACTAACTGTATGGGGTCAAATTTGACCCTATATGTCTCTACGCCTAAGGGTATACCCTGTAAGCGTATACCCATTATAATAAGGGCACGGTTCGGACGTGAGGGCAAAGACGACGCCATTTAGAACTGGACGTCCTTGCTAGGAGGACGTCAACCACGTTCAATACTTTTATTACTATTTTAAGGAAGGCCCCTCCTTATAAAAAGGGGACCTTCCCATTGTAAAAGGCATCAATGTTATTATCCAATAATACAACTCTCTCAACTCTCTTATTCTCCCTTATTCTCTCTCTATCTCTTACTTCTGACAAACAACTGTTCTCAAGTTCATCATCTTGCAATATTAGATCTGTCATAACTACATTGTTTTTACATCCCTAGGCTTGTTATATTTAATTACGATTTACTCTTTCACATTTTTTGATTGTTTTAGCTTACAAAGTATCGTTTAACTTTTGAGCCAAACAATATCTATGATTTCAGTTCAGGGTAATCCTCTGATAAAGAGTACAGTGACAAAGACAAATCATCTATCCACTGAATTGAAATTCAAGTAGCCATACTTTACGGTGTGCGGGCCGAGCAGTTAGGCAAATACGAAAACCACGGCTCTAACGTAAAAAACAAGCCACCGTCTTTTTAACCTAATCTCCATCCAAATTTTTATTCAGGCGGTGATTAAAGGAAAAAAAGAAAAAGCTTAGAAGTTCACAGTACAGGTATGTGCAGATTTCTTTTACGTAACCATTTTACCCTTCTTTTACGATACCCATTTTACTGTATTGTCAGTGACCAGCCATCTCTTTATTTCCTGGCATTAGTAAAGGTTTTACTGTAATAATCTAAATAGTACTACCTTTTAAAGTATTTAACTATATTCTATACAATAGAAGTCAAATCACATTGCCAATACTTGCATTAACGCTGTCTGCAAGGATCCAATACTCTTTTCTTTAGTTCAGCGCAGAAGAAGTTAGAATAGCATGGAATTAATTATTTATTTTATTAGTCACTTATATTGATCTGGTCTACTTTTAGTTTGAACATTTCTAATTAGTTATACTTGGGACCTGTTTTTCCATATAAAAAAAATTCTTTTATTCAAATTTTTTTTACAAAAATGTATTTGTCCATAAAATTTTGCAAGTTTTTGAAAAAAATTCGAAAATGAATTTTTCAAAAATCAGAAAGTGATTTTGACCACTTTTTGAAAATTTTCAGAAAAAAACTTCTTTTTCCACTCAAAAAAGTGCAACGTTGTTTCAAGTAAATTCCATGTCCAAATATAATTTTAAAATTTCAAATGCTATTTCTCAACTTAACTTCAAATACTATTTTTTTTCAAAAATTATTATTTTTATGTCCAGACTCTTTCTTAAACACATGCAAAATCCTCGAAAATTGTACTATGTACAGTGGCGAAGCCACATGGATCGTCGAAAAAATTGTACTATGTACATAGGTAAAATATTACGTTTTAGAAGTATATAACACATATTGAACACTCTTTATCGGGATTTTTTTTCACTTTTTTTAAATTTGAATACCTTCGGAGAAATTCCTAGCTTCGCCACTGAAGACATATACTGTTAAATCGAAACAAACCTTTTCTTTAACGAGAAATAGTAAAAGTCTCCCTTGAACTCACAAAAGTCTCAGTACTACTTTCTTTTTCAATAACTTAGAAGATAAACAACTTGTTTGGTCATTTGTTACTTGTTGTATTGTATCATATTGATATTTTAAATGTTATATTGTTGTGATTGTTAATTAAATTTTATTATATCGTATTGTTAATAAATTGTCGTTACGTAACAACGAAATGTATCACTTTATGGAACGACCGATTTGGTATGATCACGCCGTTACCTTATTTTTTTCTCTCATCTTGCCCTTTTTTATTATTAAATATTCCTATTTTATTTTTTATCCCGCCTTTTTATATAATAATATTATCTCGTACTTTATCTTTTGTAATAATATTACAAGTTTATTTTTTATATTATTGGTGAATGACAATATGAAACGACGACAAACAATACAATATATCTAAATATTATATACATCAAAATGATTCAATACAATACAATACATTACGAAATAATATATAACAACCATCCAAACAAGTCGTAAGAGAAAATAATTGAACCAAGTTATAATTGGAGAATAAATTTTTTAATTGGAGTAATAAGTAATTTCTTAATCAGCAAGTTCCAGAAACTGGTAGAATCAACTGTTTAACTTTTAAAGATTCTTCTAGAAAGGCCACGGAATCATTGCTTTTGCCCGTTTCTCGTCGGACTTGGTTATATATACTCAATGACGAATCAGCCCTTTCTTTACAAGTCCAAAGGCCTTTGATTGCGACGCCTCTTTTGGCACTACTCGTACGCGCATTTAAGGGTATTATAGACTTTTCCACATCACATTTGGAAATTACGACTCCTTTTCCAATTATAATTAGTTCTCCTTTCGTGACCAGAACTAGGACGTGTGAACCGAGCTTATCCCGTGTCCATTATTACAACAATACCCTTAAAATCACTTTTATTTTACCACGTCTTGTGGGTATTATTGTCATTAACCAAATCCGACCGTCATTGGAAAATAGCCCTTTGTCCCCTCAAATCTATATATACACTCACCTCAAAAATTGCGTTTCATATAATCAACTCTTTTCTGCTAATCAAATCTCTTTGTTTGACGCTTCAGTTTGTGCCCCAAAAGAGAAAATTTTCTAAATTATGGGTTCTGAAGGAAACAAGTTTATCGACGGTACAAGCTTCCAGCCGGCGGAGCCAACACCGTGCGGAAACGGTTGCGGATTTTTCGGCACGGCGGCGACGATGGGACTTTGTTCAAAGTGTTACAGAGATTATAAGATGAAGGAAGACCACGCGACGTTGGCTAAAGTAGCGATGGAGAAGCTTGTTATATCTAGGGCTCAAGTTGTAACGGCCGGAAAAGTTGCTCCGTCGTCGTCGACGGCAGTGGTTGAAAAGGCGGCGGTATCGGTAGCGGAGGTCGCCGGGAGTGAGGCGAAGGTGGCGGTGTCAAACCGGTGTTTGACTTGTAGGAAGAAAGTGGGGGTAGTGGGTTTCAAGTGCAGATGTGGTAGTACCTTTTGTGGGACCCATAGATACCCAGAGCAGCATGATTGTACCTTTGATTTCAAATCTAAGGGGAAAGCAGAGATTGCTAAAGCTAATCCTGTAGTTAAGGCTGATAAAATTGATAGGTTCTGAGCCGCCGAACCAAAATTCAGCTCGGGGTAGGATTTTTTTTTTTTTTTTTTTTTAATTTGTGGCGTTGATTTGGTGTTGGGTAGAACAGGCTGGATGGGTGGTTAGGTTCGCTTTGGAATTTATGAATGTAAAATATATTTGCTATTTATTTATATAATTTGCTTCCAATTGCTCAATGATTGTTTAAGCATTCATTCTGGCTCAACCGCTACCCCCACCCCATCCCCACCCCACCCAAAACAAAAAAAAAAAGAAAAGGAGAAGAGATAAATAATTTTTAGAATTCGCTTTAATCTTTTTTAAATTGTTAATGAAACAAAATAATTTACCCTAAACACGGATAACAATTTAATTTATACAAACACGTAAATTGACATTGAAATTGATTGTAAACAGAAATAAAATTAAACCAAAGGAAATGTATAGCTTTGGCCCTCGTAGGTCGCCCTCGAACTAAATGAATATTGAAAATATGAACAAAGTAATACAGTATTGAGAGCGTTAGAGAAAGGTAGTATATTGCTTTATGTTGCATAAATGTGATGCCTCTTTAGATCTCCTTTATATAGTAGGGGAGTCTTATCCTTGATACAATTCTAAATACAGTAAGAAATTTCATGATTAGCTAATTAATTCTCTTCTTGATATGTGCCGAGATTTCTACCGTGCTCCTCGTCCGATCGCGGATATTTTGGCTTTTCATTATTTGGTTCAGTTAGCTTTCCTCGATCTTGCTCGATCTCTATCCTGCTTGGTCTCAATCTTGGCCGATCTCGATCTCGATCGATCGATCTCTGGGTCAAGCTCGACAATCTAACTTTACATCATGGTCCGACATAACATGGGGTCGTACCTTGGCCTGCCACGTTCCAGTCTCGATTAGTCATACAAAAAAGGGCAAGCCCGATTTTGACCGTATACAGATAGTCCCCTCGTTTCTCAGAGAGAAAATGACGAGAAACGATATGAACTTTTCCAATCCCGTCTCGATGGGCCATGACGTAAGCGACGAACCCAACCATGACATCAGCGACAAGTGGATACCGAAACGTCCCGTCGGTTCGGCTATCGAGGCATTAAATGGCTGTCAGTTGCTGTCGGCCACAACCAGTTCTGAACCGTCGCCAGCTACTTATAAAAACCCTAGCCTTTCCTCATTCAAACTTTTACGCTCAAAGTCCTCCCTACTTTTGTTCTTTTTTCAACAAACCTCTCTTCTTTACCATCTTCACACCTAAATTCCTTGAACCCTAATCAAATCGCGTATCATCCCAATTCTCTTTTCTCTTGTTCATCAATGGCTAGAACTTCCAAAACTGTGCCGCAAAAGGAGGCCGCTTCTTCATCACGACCCGCCGGGAATAAGGCTCCGGCGGAACCCACCCTGAGGAATTCATTCCGCTAGGGTGCCCAACCAACACTGACTTTATGCTTAAAAAGACTCCCTCGGTATCGTGCCGATGTGAACCGGTATCGAGGTATATATGCACCATTACCAAAGACATCCTCAGAAGGGTAAAAGAGGAGTGTAACTGGGTGAACAAGGATGTAGTAGTTCCTACTCCTGAGGAATCGGTCACCACTTACGTGTAGGGGTATCTAAGTGTTTACACTTACCCCTTCACGATGGGTCCCTTAGACCCCATCATCGTCGCCTTTTGCAAGAGGTATGACGTCACCCTCGGCCAAATCCACCATTCATTCTAGGGAACAGTCATTCTCCTCTGTTTTTTCAAGAGCAAAATCGAGGGAAGTCTCTTTACCCTCGTTCACCTCATGCGCCTCTACAGTCCCAGGCTCTACAGAGGGGAATGATTAAGCTTTCCTGCCGGGCCAGTAGAGCCCCATTCTCCAGCATAGACGAGTCTCAGGATCGAGGCTGGATGGGCCGATTTGCCGAATAAAGACTTCGGACCTGATCCCCGCTGAAGACATACCGTTCCCCGAGAAGTGGAACATGAAACGTAAGTACACTTCACCTTGAATGTTTAATTTGTTGTTTTACTTCCTATCTTCTTTGCTCATCTATGTTTTGGTGTTGTGGCCTAGATGCTTGATAAGTTGGTATATTACCAACTTATCTTGTCTTTAAACCTATACTTTAGCTATGTTTGAGTGATAAAATCATGTATTTAATGTCAGTTACTTCTATTTTTGTGACGACCCGGCTCGTCGTCTCATGAGTTACCGCCCCGTTTCCCCCATTTTATGCTTCTTCATGCTTCATTATATGTATTAGGTACGATCGAGTCGATTTGGATTGGTTTTGGTAGAAAATGAGACACTTAGTCTCTTTAAGGAAGGTTTGGTTTGGAAAAGTCAACCGAATGTTGACTTATGAGTTAGAGGGATCGAATGTGATTTCCGGTGATTCGGTTAGCTTCGGGGGATGATTTGTGACTTAGGAGTGTGATCGGAAGTGGTTTTCGAGCTCCGGTGTAGAAGCTAGCTTGTTTTGGCGAAGTTAGTATTTTGGCGATTTCCGGTTGGTAGGTGACATTTTGATCCGAGGGTCGGAATGGAATTCCAAGAGTTGCAGTAGCTTCGTTAGGTGATTGGGGATGTGCGCGCAACATTTCAGGTTATTCGGAGGTGATTTGGTTGGGTTTTTGATCGAATGCGAGTTTCGGAAGTTTTTAAAGAACTTAGGCTTGGATTTGATGTAATTTGATGGTTTTAGTGTTGTTTGAGGCGTTTTGATGATTGTAACAAGTTTGGATAATGTTTTAGGATGTGTTGGTGCTTTTGGTTGAGGTCCCGGGTGCCTCGGGGTGGTTTCGGATGGCGATCGGGGAGTTTTGGACTTGTGATGTTGCAGAATTTCTGTTGTTGCTGGTATTTCCGCACCTGCGGAAAAGGGTCGCAAGTGCGGTGTCGCATATGCGGAGTGGAAGTCGCAGAAGCGTAAAAGGGCAAGGTTAGGCTGGACCGCAGATGCGGATAGGGAGCCGCACCTGCGGCTATTGGACCGCAGATGCGGCCAAGCGAGACTTTATAAAGTTCCGCAGATGCGGAATGTTAACCGCAGAAGCGGCTATTTGACCGCAGATGCGGTTTCGACTGGGCAGAAGGTATTTAAATTCATCTTTGCGAAGATGAGACACTATTTGGCCTTCTTTCAGGAGTTGTAGATAGTATCACCTTTAGCTGGTAGCTAGCAAAGAAGTTATCCCCTATCATCGTATATAGTTGAGGGCAAACCGAGGTTTTACCCGCAACTTCTGTCCATGAATCTTCTTTCGCAATTTTGAAGGGTTTCTCATTTCTAACTTCGGACTTGGTGGTTTTTGAGCGATTTTGAAGAGGGAAATCAAGGGACTTCATTGAGGTAAGGATTTTTGAACCTAAAACACAATTCTAAGGTGTTATTACATGAATTAAGACTGAAAAACTAAGGAATCAAGGATTAAAAATGGAGGTTAGGGCTTGAACTTAAGAGAGTTAAGAATGGGGATTTGATGGGTCAATTGAACTCCAATTCTCGTGATTTTGATATGTATGAACTCGTGGCGAGATAAGGAAATCGTTGATGTAAAAATTTCTGAGTTTCGAGAAGTTGGCCCGGGGCTCGGGTTTTGCCAGTTTCGGGATTTTTGCTGTTTTTCGATTATTTTCGATTGCGTTTTGTTCCCTTAGCATATTGTGATGTATTCGTTGTGGTTTTGCTCATATTCGACGCGCGAGGAGGCCGATTTGAGAGGTAAGGGCATGGCGAGCTAGAGTTTTGGCCGGCTTGAGGTGAGTAGTGATTGTAAATGATGTCCTGAGGGTTTGAAACCCCGGATTGCATAACGTAGTGCTATATTGAGGTGAGACACACGCTAAATTACGAGCGCGGGGTCATTTACTATTGGGGATTGTGACTTGGTCCGTCCTGATTGATGTTTTCACCGTGTATTTGATTGAGACCTGTTTGTTTTCACCATGATTTGGGGCTTATTGCCATATTTGGGCTTAATGCCAATTATTTGAATCCTTCGGGGACTTTTATCACTGTTTCCTCACTAGTTTGATATACTACTTGAACTCAGTCCCATTGAATTACACTGTTTTACAAACTCAGCCACTTTTACTCGAATTTGAGACTTAATGATATTTAAAAATGTTGTTTGAGCTGAGCACTATTGTTCTACTGATGCTCGTGGGGCTTTGTGATGATTTTCTGGACTGAGTGAGGCCGAGGGCCATATGTGAGGATATACTGAGTGATATGACGCCGAGGGCCTGAGTTACTTGATATGCCACGAGATGGCTTGATATAACGCTTGGGCTGTAAGGGGCCCCTCCGGAGTCTGCACCCCCACAGTAAGCACAGGTACCCATATGATTTGAGAGTGATCCCGAGGGGCTGATATTATGCTGAGTGACTGATACTGAACCCGAGGGGCAGATTTCTACTTATTATTCACTTGTTGAAATTATCTGTTTTCACCTGTTTTAAGAGAGATTTTACTCGATTCTTCACTATTTTACTGCTTTAATGATATTAGTGCTTTAATATAGAATTATCTTGTGCCTTTATGCGATTTCATGCTTTCAGTCGTTATTTATAATTATTACTCACCGGGTCGGAGTACTCACATTACTCCCTGCACCGTGTGTGCAGATTCAGGCATAGCAGAGTCCGCACCTGAGCGCTGATTCCTTCCAGACCAGGCAGTGACTTGGAGTGACGAGGTAGCTGTTGACGTCCGCAGCCCCGTTTCTCCCTTATCCTCTATTACTTATGTTATCTTCAGACCATTGTATCACATTCCATATTTTGTAGACATATAGCAGATTCTGTAGTAGCTCATGACTTGTGACACCCCGGTTTGGGCTATGTCGGGATGATTTCCCTTGTTTATTCGCTTTCTTCCGCATTTATGGCTATATTAATCATGTTTTAGACTTATTTATGTTAATTAACTGTTAAAAGAGGTGTTTCGTTCTGTTTGGCTGGCCTTGTCTTCACAAGAGGCGCCATCATGATCGGGTTCAGGAATTGGGTCATGACAATTTTACAGGGTGTATGTGATTTAGAAGTAATGTTGAAGAAACCAAGTGAAAACAAGTTAAAAAGAAGCTTAAAAGAGGAAAAATCTGGGCAATGCCCAGATAGGTCGCATTTGCGACAAGATCATGGGAAATGCGAATCCAACAGTGTTGGTAATTGCAATGAATTCCTGGGAATTGCGAA